ATGGAGTCAGTCAGTAGAACTCTTTATTCGACCTCTGGGATTGCTCCTTTTGCCGCCTCCTCTCGCTGGAAGTCCCTTTTTCCGCCGGATTTGCTCAACAGGCGGACGTTGGTGATGCAGATGTCGTGGGAAACGGCCTTGCACATATCGTAGACGGTTAAGGCGGCCACGGAAACAGCGGTTAGGGCCTCCATCTCGACGCCGGTCTGGCCGGAGCATCGCACGGATGCCGTCAGCCGGACTGAATGCTCGTTCTTGAGAATAGTGGCCTGCACCTTGACGGACGACAAGCTGATATTGTGGCACAGGGGTATTAGTTCGGAGGTGCGCTTGGCTCCCATGATGCCAGCCAATTGGGCCACGGTCAGAACATCTCCCTTGGCTAACTCATTGGCTGCTATAAGTCGAGTGAGCTTCTCACCCACCTCTACAGTGGCCTCTGCTCGAGCTAGTCGTGTGGTCGAAGCCTTTGCGCCCACATCCACCATTTGGGCCTTGCCCTGAGCGTTGACGTGGGTCAGTTGACTGCAATTCCGGACCTGGAGCTGCATGCCTGAAGGATGATGTGCTTGGTAATACAAATAATGATGACTTTGATGATGGAATCGTGGCGCAGTATCTGCAACGGGAGAGAGGGAAGAGAGTGGTGTGTCTACTAGCCGCCAATCAGTATCATGGGCCGGTTCTCCATCTGCGACAGGTTGAGCATGCCTGGGAAGGAGGACCAAGGTCTGAGGACTTTCTACGCTTGTTTTGGCATCGTAACTCACCTGCATGCTGCTTCTTTTTGCGCTGCACCGCTGCCCCAATGAGATCCACCAACTGCTCCTCTGTTATATTCTCATTTCGCATGGCGTCTCTCAGCGAGAACTCCTTGTTGCCAAACAAGCACACCTTGATGTTGCCATCCGCAGTGAGTCGCAATCGGTTGCAAGTTCCACAAAAGTGTTCCGTCATGGATGTGATGAAACCCACTTGACCCTTGAACCCCGGAACTGCATAGGCTTTGGATGTGTCATTTGGGCCATTGGGCAAAGCCTCGAAATCAGGCCACCTTTGACGGATGGTTTGCAGGGTATCTTTGTAGGAAATAAGTCTCTCCGTGTGCCACTTGTTTCCAGAAAAGGGCATGTACTCTATAAATCTCACATCCACCGGGCGATCTCTGGTGAACTCCACGAAATCGCAGATTTCATCCTCGTTGAAGTCCCGCATGAGGACACAGTTCACCTTGGGACGGTAGCCCAACTGGACGGCAAGATCGATGCCAGCTATCACTCGCTCCCACCCCTTTCTCCGGGTGATCTTCTCAAAGCGATCCCTTTTCAGCGTGTCCAAACTGATGTTGAGGGAATCCAACCCTGCCCTTTGCAGCGGCAGAAGCAAGCGGGTCAGCACCAGGCCATTGGTGGTTATGCCTACTTGTTCCAGTTCAGGTAGAGCCTTCATTTGTGCCACTATTTCCACTATATCTCTCCGGACAGTGGGTTCTCCTCCCGTCAAGCGGATCTTGCGTACTCCCTGCTCCACGAAAATCCGAGCCAAACGGAGGATCTCCTCAGTGGTCAGGAGATTCCCTTTGGGCTGGAGAGGAACTCCCTCAGCGGGCATACAATAGTCACCTAAAAATATGAAGTATCTATGAATAAGGTTAAACAATAGATAGGCGTCGTAGGAATAAGTGGAATGATGACCCTGATAAAGAATGTATGTATGTTAATAATGGATCAGAAAAGCTTTATTTTATCTGTTACACACATTTGAAGGAGTTAGATACCTATGTACAGTTACCATTTTGGGTACTAGTACCAAATTGAATAATGTATGTAATTTATAATATAGTATGGAATTTTCCAGAAATAAATTAAAGATCATTAAGTTATCAAGTGTTATTTGCTTTCAGTAATTGAAATAGAAAATGTTGTGAAAGCTGTCGCCAAAAAAAACTGAGTACAATAGAACCCAAAATCGAATTAGAACATATGTTCTAATTTGGTAACACATACATAGGTCGAATTTGAAAGGCTTATTAGCTATTATGTTGACCACAGGTGTGGAACGTTCGTGTTAGACACGAATTTCGCCACATTGTTCAATCAAGGCTGGGGATCCACTTCATAACGAGTATTATCAAATGGGTAGAACAATAACAGGCTGTCACTGATAAGGCCGAAAACATAGGTGTTTGGGCTGAGTACTTACATCGCAGGTTGCAGCGTTCGGTAAGGGAAATTCTTAAATAGGTATGGTGTCGGCCAAATGAATCCGTTAACGGAGAAGTCTGGGGAATTTCGGATTAGCGAATTAGAAACACTGTGAGAGTACTAAAACGGAGTACCCACCTTTCTCTGCACCTGTTTCTCCGGCTCCAGTGGCTGAACACTTGCCGTGGCCAGCTTCAGGTAACCGGTTGTGGCCTTCAGCCGGATTCCTCCTCTCCAAAATATAGTCATTTCGCCACCCGCTCCTCCTCCTCGATTCTCCTGACCCAACAATCGAATCGCGTGTCTGGCCAGTAGCCGCATTTTTTATTTTGATTGATGTTCCCTCTGCTTAAAACGTACTTAAAACGAATTTAATTGGCTTACGTAAACCTAAACCGGCAGTTTGCGGGGGGTACGAGGTGTTTTTAAGGGATCTGTTGTCGCTGGAGCGATGAAGCATACCGATTTCGGACAGTCCGGCGTGATAAGCAATTACATATGCTGACGGGCACGGACACGCTGGTTCGGTGGTACTTGTGGGTATATGAAGCCGATTGGAGGGTTCCGACTGCACCCGGCGAGAGTTGTTTATAAACTAGGTGGAGAGTGGCGATCATATGGACAAGCTTGCCATTCGCCAAAGCTTTCTAATACCAGTGTTAGTTAGCTCCAACATTTGTTTTGGGGGTTGAATGGGGGATTATGTGAAAGGAGGGGGAGCTTTGACATCCGAAAACTTTTTAAAACGCTTGAGGCGGCAAAAATGAGACACTGCTTTGGCAGCATTTTTGTTTTATGCCTAGGTACTGTATACCTAATTTAAATGTTTCAGTTTAAATTTTCTTTTAACTTAAATATATGTATGTATATATTTGCTTATTTTAAAGTTGCAGTTTTGGTTTACTCAGCATTTTATAAAAACAGTGGTCGTTATCCTAACTCTTTTAAATTATGATTAAAATATTATGTATTTCATTTGTTGTTTACACTATATAACCAATATTTATATTCGATGTTTTTAAATTAACTAAAATATTTTTTTATTGACCTTTATTACAAAAAAAATGTAGTCATTGTTAAGTCAATTTTAAACTCTGTAGCAAACTTTTGAAGTGCATAAGTTCAGTAGGTCACCAAGAAACGTAGCAATCCCATATCGCATGCTGAAATAAAAACCTTCTTTCATAACGAGTAAGTGCTTAAGGAACTTACAACTCTCTCATAAAGCAAGTTCTCTTCCAAAGAAGAATGATCCATAGATACCCATTTAAGTTCCAACCGCCACTGTACCCTAAGATCCCTTTGTTTATCTTTCTCTTTTCGCTATGGAACTCCCGCTCCTTCCCCTTTGAGGCTGTTTCCCGAATCTTTGTGGTGAGTTCTCCGTCACATGTTTATTTGAAATTCGAATAAGCCGACATATACACAGAATAATCGTCAGTCGCCAGCGGAAATCCATCGAGAACAGAACTATGCATATCCCCCGTCTGTGGATTAGGGCAGCGGTCCTCCTCGGCATCGCCCTGCTGCTCTATGTCTTTGTTTTCTCCAGCGGCTATCAGAAGTACCAGATCGAGGGCATTATCAAGCGGAGCGAACCGGAAAAGGTCTGGGAGTATGTTGCTGATTTTAACAAGATGCGGCTGCTAAACCCCACTATGTGAGTATACATCTAATACGACGGAATCCGATTAATATAATGTGTTAAAATTTCTTATCTTAATTAGAAAGTAGTAATTTTCTAAAGTTCGCGGTGATAAGTTCTATCCATCTTTTGAGAAACGTGTTTTACAACATTTTTTTTAGTTATGGAAACACAAAATTGCTTTGATCTTGTACCACAAGCTTTGAGCATTTAAAAAATTGAATGGAATTTAGATATTATTTTTGTTTTATTATAATAGCATCAACTTCAAGATCCTTGCCGATCACGGACACGCCCACGACTGGCGCTATACGGTGGAGTACACAGAAAGACTCTCCCATTGGCCCTACTGGAAAAATACGGCAACGGGCAGATACGTGGTCACAAAGACCTTGCCCGGAGTGTCTCCCGTGGCCTATGTCATCAATTCCACCCATCAGACCTGCTTCTTTGGCGGAATCTATTGCCGTAAGACAAAGTGAACGTAAAATATAACCCCCTCTAATCAAATATTTATACGTTTTGCAGTGCATTCACTTAGTGAATTTACATTCAGAAAATCTAATGATGATACCCATGCCCAGGAAAATATAAAGTTTCAGTGCCCTCCACTTTTGGTCTCTATGTGCCGGCGGGAGCTGGAGTTCCAGCGCCAGGCGGTAATGCACAACTTAACAATAATATTCGGAAAACAGAGAGTATAAAAATCTTAACATCGCTTTAAAAACGGTATATGTGCAAAAATTAAATTAAATAACTTGTCAAATTAAGAGTAAAATCAAAGAGACTAAAAAAACAGGAAGTGTGTCCTGTAGTTAAAACGACTTGATATAAAAATCTTTAAAAAAACGAAACTCGAAACTAACTTAAAGAATTGAATTAATACAATAGGCGATCGCAAATATCGATTTTGTGTTTCAAGCTAACTAAGGAGAAAAACTACCTCAAGTTTCTCAACTATCTTACATTTTTTAAAAGCGGTTTTTAAATTTGTTCATTGTTTACTGCAGTATGTCAGTGTGAAAGAGGATTGGGTTATGTGGATATTGTATGGGATTTTGCCGATCTACATATTAGCGAAATTTTTAATCTTGGTTCCGCAGGCGAAGTTGTGAGCGACCTTGCTAGTTTTTAATAAAACACAAAAATACTGTTTTGTATCTGAACCCTTCATAAATTTTGTTTATTTCTTACATGCAAAACTTTTAAGTATTGAAATTATATGATATTTTCTTTAAAAACGATAACTATCGTCACATTAAAATCGGTTATTACGCTCTTCAATGCGTATAGAAATAATTTAGCTAAAAACTCGGCCAATTACTGGCATATATGTTTCAAGGTGGGCACATATTAGAACTTATTAAATGAGAAACGGCATAAATCTCTAAACTTTATTTACTTTAACTTGAAAACGCACTTTTACTAAAAAGTGATTAATTGATGACTATAAGGTGGTGATTTAAATAATGAATGGCCGATAATGTCCAGTGTCTTTTCAATTGTATGGTAAATTAATCCTCGAAGTGTGCAAAAAAATAGAAATATAACTAAATTGGCTAGTTAATTGCTCTGATTCTCTACGGTTAACATTGTACCACATTGTTATTACAACCTAAGAAGAGTTTTTTGTCCAAGTTTGGATGCTGTTAACTGTTGATTGGCTTTTGATTAAATAACTAATGCTATATTTTCACGTTCCGATTTCTTGGCCAAGATATTTCTTTAATGTTATATTTAAAACTCAGAATCCTGTCCGTGAAAATTTAGCTGTTATCTGTTAACTTAATTTAAGTGCTTTCCTTAAAGCGGTTGCTATATATATCCTGCTCATTATTTGAACAGTTCCAATCGCTTTCTTTTGGTGGGTCCTGCAGCTCCACCACTTCTCGCTGATCGCGTTTGACAGGCTGCTGCACTCGTGGAAGGACCCACCGGTGTACTTGGTGCGCTAACCGATTCCACGGAGCTGGTCTGCGAGGCTCCTCCGCCGAAAACAGAGCCAAACCAGCGGGTAAGCTTCGTTGCCTGTGTGGATTTTCCGCTCTGTTTCGGAGATTTGGGGGACTTTCGCAGCGCAGCAACGATGGAATTGCGATTTCCACTCGTGGGCTGCGTTTTTTCCTGGGTAATTCCAGAACCTATCAAGTAATTAGTGATTTTATTGGCCTGAGTCGGCCTGGCAGACTGTTGATCTTGTTGTACGGGTGATACCTCTCCAGAAGAATTCAACCTCATTCGACTGCCAAACTGTCCGTTGTTGGTGATCTCAAAGAAGTCATCTTCCAACAGGGTTCTCCTTCTCTGTGTAATGGTGGGCGCTAAGTCATCTTTCTGAGTCAGTGGCAAGGTAGGCAACACTTTGGGACTGGTTTTAGCCTGTTGCTCTCGTGGCTCAAACATTTGTTCCAGAATGTCCAAACAGGATCGATCACGCTTCTTCTTTGGCGCTGTAACATTTGTTTTAGCATGCTGCTGCTGGAATTGCTTCACCTCAGAGCCGAAGATCTTGAATCCTTCAAAAGGAGAGGAGGGTCGAGGCTGGGCCAGAGGAATCTGCGAGAGATCTGAAGAGATGCTAAACAAATCTGGTGATTTGTTGGCACTCCTCTTAGCCGGTGGCAATCCCAAGCCGCCGCCAAAACTGGAACTCTTCGGCGTTTCCGGTTTGCGCTTACGCTTCAGAGCTTTGGTGCGTCGACTCTGCGATGGATCCTGCGGCGAACTCTCATCGTGGGAGCTATTAATTACCACAGTTTCAACTTGTTCTTTAGACAGCGGAATAGCCACCACCTCCGAGTCCTTAAGCAAATTAAAAGTCGATGGCAAGGTTAAAAGCATTGGAGTTTGCTGAGGGGTGAAGGGCACCCGAAAAGCGGGAGACTCCATGGCATCCAAATTGTCTGGTATTCGCTGAGCACATTGCATGTACTCCGAGGACAAGGAACTACCGCTGAGCACTTGTGGGGTCGGGGGCAAGGGTTTGGGATCCGGCTTGTTGCGGGATTTCTTTTGGGCTGTAGGTTCAAGTTTGCATTTCCTTGGACGTCCCGCCTTCCGCTTAGGAGTTTCCTGCGCGGGCTTCTCCTCTGCTTTTTGTTTCTTCTCCTGCTTGGCCACAGGCCTTACATTCGCCTCCTGCTTCACCCTGGGTTTGCTAGTCTTGGGCGTTTGATTCCCCTCAGCCTTGATTCTTTTCGAAGTGCTTCGCTTGCCATCCTCCAGTGCGTGGCGCTTTAGGTACTTGCTATTTATTTTCGATTCAGCGGAACGTGTTAAACGCTGCATTCCTCTTGTAGCCGGACGACCTGTATCCATTGGACTCACCGACTGCTTGGACTGTTTTTTCCTTCTAGTTGAAGGCTCTGTTTTGGGCGTTGCAAGCGTTGGAGCTTTTCCCGATGGGGGTGGTGTGCTTAAAGTATCCATGGAAACCCTTAACAGTCGCACATTGAGTTTCCTTGTCTTGGGAGTAAAGGATACGGTGGCCGCACGAGTTCTTTTTTTGGGCGCCACTTCTATCACTTCATCATCCTCCTCGGAATCGGTGAGGTCTGCTTTTTTCTGCGGTGACTTCCTCTTGCTAAATTTTCTCTTTGATTTTGTTCTTGGCGATTCGATTGCGGTAGGCGTTCGATTTGGCGGAGTATTTGGAGGCGTCACTATCTCGCAATCATCGCTGGATACCACTAATACCTGATTTTGATCGGCTGCAGGCTCCACTGTTATGGGTTCTACGTCAGAGTCGGAGGATTCAAAGACCAGCGGTGACATAGCCACAACATCATCCACGCTGTGGTCGGATAACTTATCCGTATCTTCAACCACAACTGATTCGTTTTGCTGAGCCTGATTGTTCTCTGCCGATGCGATTGTGGAGCACACCTCCGAAGAGCCACTAAGTGTACTTTGGCTGTTTTTCGAGGCCAGCCAGAGGCTCAAATTGTGCTTGTATTGATCCGTTGCGACGAGCGGCAGTATTTTGTCGAACTGATGCCGGAATCGACGTAGTCGGAAGTCCCTTAAAATTATGTAATTGTATTTAGTATGTGAACAGTAGGGAATATTATTACTAGAAGACAATTAGTTTTTTCTGCTCTAACACAACAGTAGTACTGATCAGTGTTGTACATAGATAAGATTACAGCTTGTTAGTGGGTCACTTACTTGATATACTCGCTGAGGAATCCCCGCTGCTTGTAGTACTCCTCGAGATCTATACGCTTGCTAAAGACCTCCTTTGGATCTGGCAAATGGAACTTGCGGTCGAAGCTCTGGAAGCTCCGATACTGATGCTCCAGGCGCCCGCCCAACCGCAAAACATTGAACAGCAACTTTACGTCTGACTGCAGATAGGGAAACAAACTAAATAAAGCTCCATGTGAACCACTTATGGGTGCATTGCCTCACCGTAATGTCAACACTGGAGATAAGAATGTTTACCCTTCCCTCAAAATGCTTGAGAAGCATTGATGTGCAGAAGCTGTTGTTCAGCGTGTGGCCCCGATTGTCTACCAGAACGTAGTCGAACTTGAGGCGACTGAGATCTCCAATGCTGCGTAACTGGCTCCACTTTGCCAGGTAAACGTTGTGCGGGGAGTCTGTGGTGTCTATAAAGGAGTTTAAAAAAAACTGTTAGTTTCCGAATAAAAATATATAGTTCTTTGATAAGGTTTATACAAGACTTAAAAAAGTTTTCGTTTTAAAAATTGATAATTGATTTCGGTTTATATGGAAATAATGTTAATTTTTCAAATTGTATTAGCAGTTTAAAGAATATTCATTATTTATTTTGTAAATAAAACTATAAACTAAACTATAATAAAAAATTATTTAAAATGGTTCAGACCATATAGCAAAATAAAGTTGGTAAAATCAAATTTTAATAGATCCCTTAAATGGAACCCACCACTTTCGTTTAATTGCGAAATTGTACACACAAAATAAAAAACTGATAAATATTGTGGTTTTCAAAATATAATCATTTTACGCTGCACTGTGATTCATTCTTCGAAACTAACTATCAAGGAATGTTGATTTAAGAGAAGTACAAAAATATCAGAACATGGTGTTTTCCAAATTCTAATCCACATAGAAATCCAAGAATATCATTAAACGCAGAGCATTACCTTGGACTCCTTGAATGGTGTACACCTGCAGGTTCGTGAGTGTGTCCAGATGGAACCGCCAACCAGCGAGCAATTGCTCGTCGTTCTGCAGCACAATAAGAGTTTTCTTGGCGGGATCTAGGGCACTGAGAAGTGCCGCCACCGTGGCCAGTTTACCCAGGCCACTCTCATCGTTCAGGATGCAGAATTCCCGCTTGGCAAGACGATCGTAGAGAAAGCGAACGGCATCCAGCTGGAAGCTCTTGAGGTACTGTGTCACGTGGCTCGTGACCAATGCCTCAGCCGAGAGCCGCAGCTCCGGAGTTTGCTCGGATACAAAGTGATACATGATCCTTCAGAGATGGCGGTCTAATGGTGCGCGTGGTGTAGCGCCAGGTAGATGGCCACCAGTATGTAGAGTAGCTGCAGGTACGAGAAGATTACGAACATCGAGAACGAGCCAACTATCATCTTCCGCGCCGCTGGCGGCCCATCAAATTCTATATTTTCGGGATGCAGTATGTCCACCACGTTGTTGTTGTTGACAATGACGGGATGTTGGACGAAATGCATGTGTTGCTCTGGTCACGGGGAAAACTTATTGGACTGTGGAGGAAAATCGTCAGCTTTCTCGTGGACTCGGGTTAAACACAGGTGGTCATGGCGGGGGGCGCGAAAAAAGGTGCAACAATTGAACAAGAAGAAAATATTATTTTTGGCTCCAATTTTTATTTCACCATTCACACAGATCCGGCTGCGTCTAGTTGGCGCGATCAGCTGTTGGACATTGGCAGTGTTGGTAAACGAATAAATAGCTAAAAATAGACAAAATCAGGAACTGCCCATGAGATATAGCTATATTTATTAAAAACTAGAACTAGATTTGAATTGATTACACTTACTACTTACTATTACAAATACTCCATAACATATACTTTTTATTACATACTTTAAAAAAAAAAGAAAAAAGATAAATTCCAATAGCTAGGTTTTAGTTGAAAAAACGACAGCACTATCAAAACTGTTGCGTTTTTACTCGCGGTTTGTTTTGCTAGTAATTTGTTTTAAAACCATTGACTGCCATGGCTGTTGCAAAGAAAGAAAAGCCTAATGTGAAAAAGAAAATCTCAGAAAAGGGAAAACGGCAGAAAACTAAAGCAGCTCCAGCGCCACCTCCTCCAATAGTAAAACAAAGAACTGTGGTCACCCCTTGGCGAGACACGTGCGTAGATTGAAATAAACATCTTGAATTTATTAATTAAAATGTTAAATTTATAGGCTGGAATTCCAAACGACGTATGACTGGCTTTTTGGCAAAACCTCCACGCCCGCCAACCGGCATCAGGCCCTCAGTAAAATCCGCATTTGGAGCCTGCGAAGGGGAAATCTCTGCCCGGCGGCGGTTATGGCCACTTCGGTGCTCGTCCAGGCTCAACTGGAGGACCAGGAGGGCAACGCCAAAATACAGAACACCTACGCCAGTGCCTTTACGCGATTCTACAACTTCATGTCCTCCATCATCCAGGGCCACAACATGACCAGCATGTACGAAACGGCAAGGGAACTGGGACTCCAGTCGTTCATCGTGGATCTGCGTCATCTGTGCGCCCACGGACAGGAGCTGCCACCTGTGGAGGTGCTAAGGAACACTTCGGAGCATTGTTTGGAGTGGCTGCGCACCTACTACTGGCTGCCCCACAAGGAAACCATGTCCAATTTGCATGCCGGCAAGTTGAAGCGGAAGGACAAGCTCAAGTTCGAAAAGGCTGTGAGCAATCTTCTGGAGATCTACGATCTGACCCTAGAGTGTCATTTCAAAGGCGCCGAGAAACTAAAGGCCATCAGCAAACTGAAGTCCAGTGCAGAATTCAACAAGATTCGGGTTTACTCCTCTAGCAAGAAAGCCAAATCATCAAAGGAGATACTCGATGCGGTGGTAAATGATCTCAGTGCGCTGGTCAAAAAGGAGTCTTCCTCCATGAAGGATCTGCTGGATATTTACACGGGTTGCCTGCTTAAAATGGAATACTTCCTAGGCGTTGGTCTGCAAGTCGATGACAACGAAGATACCCTAATTTCAGCCACTCAGGGACTCTTTAGACTACTTGCCATGCAGGGATACATCGAAAAGGTGTTCGTGGCGTTAGTTCAGCTGACTGAAAACGAAAACGAGGCGGAGCAAAGACGACTGGGAGCCAGCTATTGGGCCTCGAATATGGTTAAAACCTTTGGAATGCTGTTCCGCATGAAGCGCATGTACAAAGAGGAACTAGATTTGGTTTGTAAAAACTTGAAAGCCTTGGGAGTTGCCTACTAAATCATCAACATTTTTCCAGAACGATAAACTAAAAGCAGTGGATTTTTCATCGCTCAACACGGATAAGCTATCGAAAACCATGCGCAGTCTTCTTGTGCATTCGAATGTGGATCCCTCTTTTACCCTTATATTTGGAGACAATCCCAAAAAGTCAAGGTCTTTGGTGTTTGAGCGGGAGTTCATAATGCAACGGGTTGCCCCTTTCAGCAAATATTCAGCGCCGATTCTTAAGGGGTAAGCTTGTTTTTCCAAATCTGGCTGTTATAATAATGTATTCCAAATTTCTTTAGACTACTGCCGCTTGCCGATCCTCCGTTTAGCAAGTCGCAAGTGGCGGATTTAAGCAAACTATGCGATATTAGATTGCATGAATTCGAACAGCTAGAACCCATGGAGGAAGACGGTTCTTCGGAGGAGAGTTATAACCTAGAATATTTGGAAAAGCTTTTAGCAAAAGCAGCTCAAAGCAAAGGCAATACCCTTAGCAACGCTGTATCCTCTGATTTGGGCATTTGGAAAGTTGAAAAAGGTATGTTTTTTAAAATATTAAATAAAAACTTGGTTATTATGACTTCACACTTAAAAATTATTTTTTCCTATTATTTTACAGACTACGATTGGTCTAAATGTGCCTTGGGAGTGTTACCTTGGGCTAACTAAATATGAATACAACTTATATATTACTATATTGTTTATACCTATTAAATAAAAAATAAGACAAATTCAGTTTGTAATATAATTCAATTCCAGTTTGGCGCGCTTTTTGCCATTTAACCATTCACACTGAGCGTGGCCAGTCAGCTGTGAGTGCGCTCGCTGTGAACGGCAAGTCGGCATCACTGACGTCAACAATTAGTCGCGATTTGGGTTTATTTTGATGTAAATAGAAATAACTTGGCACAAATATGTTTACTTTGTGGACCCTGATTGAATCCTCGCTGCTGTGCTTGAATGCAGTCTGCATTCTGCACGAAGAGCGTTTCCTGGCCAAGTGTGAGTACTTAGTTAGATTTCAGTGTCCAATACCACGATGTTCAACTTTTGGCACACTTTTCAGTTGGCTGGGGACGACAGGCTGGTCAGCAGGACTTTGGAGCACCCACGGCCAAGGATCAGGTGCTCAATCTCATCCGTTCTATACGCACAGTGGCCAAAAGTAAGTTACATATTATTACCCATCTTATAAACGAGGTTCTACATCTCCATTACCCTCTTTACGCTTGCAGTTCCCCTGATATTCCTTAACATAATTGCGATTATATTTAAGTTATTACTTGGTTGACATAAAATCTACTATAATAAATGTACCATAAAGCCTTTGTAAAAGAATAGTCTTATTGGGTCAGCTGACCACCTCCGGATTTCCTTTGAAGAACGCACTTTACGCGATTTTCTAGGGCTATGCTGTAGGCATCTAGTTTATAGGCCGCCGCCTCCAATTTATCCACCGTATCGGAGATCTCATCGATCTGCTGCATCATCGGAGCCAACTGCTGGAACTTAAGGCTCAATTCACTGGTCGAGGTGTTCAGATTCTCCGCAATCTGTCGCATATCCTTGTACTTGGCAATCGTGACCTTGTTCATCTCCTCCAGCAGCTTGTAATCCTCCAGAGGAGCGTTGAGTTCGTGGGTGATGTACTCCTCCGTTTTGTTGAACATTTTCGTTGCAAGTCGACTGAGATTTGGGTCGTGTCGCGTCAGAGCCTCGAAACTGGAGGCACTGGACAAAGTAGGTCCGTGTTGTGGGGAGTCCATGAGAAGATTGGGATCCTGTGCCGCGGCGGCAGCAGCAGCAGCGCTGCTTGTGGGTTTATCCATTTCTTTGAAGGGAGTTGAGATGCGATTTTCCGAGTTTTCTTTTCCAAAAACAAAGTGATTGCTGTCATCAGCTGTTGTACACGTTGCCCTGGAATGGCAATTCCAATTGGACGGCATTCGCACGGAAACTCATTTTGATTTTAAACAAAAATACACTCGACTATTAGGTACCCTTTAATAACTTTTTACATGGGGCTAATACTTAACATTTATGTAGTGTATTTCACAGTGGTAAAACAATTGCTTCTATCTTTTTGTTCATCTAGTTTATAAGGATGTCCTATTCTAAAATAAATATTAATGATTTGCAATAAATATTTAAGAATAGTTATTAAGTATTGAACAAGGATTTATCTTAGTTTTAAAATGTATTGTAGTTTAAGAGTGTTCTGTATAGGTAAACATCAAAATTATGCTATGAATTTCTAGTTTAAAATGGAAAAAAAACTACTAACAATATCATTTCTACCTTAAGTTAAAAACACCATAATTACTTATTACTAAGACTTACGTCTTATTTAAAAACCATTTATTCTTAATAAAAATGTATATTATAACATTTCAAGCAAAGCGGTACAAGTCTGGAACGCGATAAGATCATCCGCCTAGAAAACTTTATACCCCTAACTTTTACTAATAATAGGTATAACATGGCGACCATTATAAAGTTAGATGTTTTCCCATTGTTTTCCATAAATGCGAGTGCACCTCTTAAAGATAAGGCATTAGTATGCCTGGCACAGCACACTAAACATGTCGAAAACCAATCAAGATCGCAAGCTAAAGCACCTTTTCGACGGTGGCGACTGGAATGTCTACAATCCAAATATCCTGAATCTCGGGGTTGGTGCCCCGGGAACAGATCTACTTAACTCCAACTGCGATAACTTCAGGAAGGCAACGGATCATTGTTTGGTGGGTATTCCTCTTACGCAATCCGCTCTTTCAAATGACCTTTTCAAGTGTCTTTTAAGAATCGTGAAAAGCTGGTAAATGAGTCGCTGATTTTCCAGTATGGACCCACAAGTGGTACGTTTGAGGTGCGTCGTGAGATCTCCACCTATTTCACAGAAATGTTTGAAAGTCCCGTGAACTGGTAATCGTATGCGGTTTTTGAGGTTTAATTGCTTATCTCATTAACTTTGTGGTTTTGGTTTTAGTGAGGATTTGATAATCACCACAGGAGCTACCCAGGGCCTTCACCTACTTCTATCCACGTTGATAGACTTCCAGGGTTTCGTAT